AAATTGTTGGAGTGGTTTGATATGGAGTGGATTAGCTTGAGGTAGGAGATTTGACCATTAATGGTCTCTTGATCATTTGTTGACTGGTTTGACCAGTAAACTGCTCAAACCAGCTCATGTGGCATGCAAGGTGGCACTATGAGCTGGTTGGAATGGTTTGGAAAAGGCTTAAAGCTAAGAAATTAAAGCTTGAATGCATATGGGTGAATGAAAGGAGATTTGACCAAGCCATGATGGGTTGACTTGACTTATAATAATTTAAAGAATAATCAAAGCATTAAATGGAATGGGTTAGGGTTTCTTAAAACAATAGGATTGAAGTTTGAGTGGATAAACACATAGAATGCAAAGTTTGACCATGGATTGATTTTTTACCATGTCAAGTCAAGGTGGTTTGACTCAATGCATTTGAATCATATATTGAAGTGGGTTTGAAAGCTTGGAAGGTTCAGTTTGATTGAATGTGTTAAATTGACCCATTGGACTTGAGTTAACCAAACATATGGGTTTGGCAAATTTGATAATTTGACCAAGTCAAATCAAGTATGATTTGACACATGAAGGTTCTGGATGTTTTTGAACCATGCACTGGAGAGATTGAGGGTTTGAAGATGTTCATTTCGTTAGATGAAATGATTTGATCCAAATAGGTTAAATATGACTAGACTTGGGCTTAGTTGACCAAGTCATCTGTTGACTAGGTCAGGGTGACCAATCAAACCCAAATCACTAGGAAAAGAGATCAAAGGGTTTTGATAAAGTTTAAGTGAAAATAGAGCATGATTTAATATAAACAGGGGTTAATGATTGATATGGTCAACCAGTTACACCATGGTTGAGCTTGAGCTCAACATGTTTGATTTGATCAATGAAAACCAATGGAAGTTGTTTTCTTAGACTAGACGGGTCATTTCAGTCAAAATGACCATTTGGACTCGTAAGGGGCCATTTGGTCAACAAGGGTTGATTTGGTCAACTAGATCAGACTAAGGCCTGAGTTCGGGTTTAACAGGTCTAAAATGACATTTCAAACTTAATGTAGGTGGCTATACCATGGTGAGGTCGTTTAGATTGAAATCACCATTAAAACCCTTAAGGGGTATTTTGGTCAAAGTAGGTTGACTAGTTCAACTGGACTTGACCAAGGTCTGGAGTTGAGTCCAATATATTCCTAATTATGTTTATGATGCACTAGAGGAGGTTCCAAGACTTGATTTGACTGGGTCATGTTGAAGTTTGAAGAAAACTTTAAATTTTCCCTTAATGAGTGTTTTGGTCATTTTGACTCATTGTCAACTCGAGGCAAATTAGGTCCACCAAAATATTTTTTAATACTCAACATGTCATAAGCAAGGCTATGCGCATGGACAAGCGTCTTGGGGAGGATCCCAAGATTAAATTTCATAGGCATAAGCTATAAATATTTGAAGGTTTTGCAATCTTTGAAAAATGATTCAGTTTCTTGGGATAGAAATGTTAGATTGTGCTCCAATTTGGAGGGTTGACCTTAGAGACATGCCTAATCAATATGCAATTTATAGATCATGAATCAAAAATCATTTGATTGGATTTTTAAGGTGATTGAAACATAACTCATAAAGGGTTTCAGGACAATGGTGCTTAGCCCTGGGTTTTCGTCTAAAATTCAAGATTTGAGTTGGATTCTAGATTTGATTGATTGAATTTGAATTATTTACATTAATCATAATCAAATGTATGATAAAGATTGAAGATTGATTAGAGATTGGATTGAAGGTTGATTGAAATCTGGGTTAAATGTGAATTGAGGTTTAATTGAACACTGACTAAAATTTGTATTAATTGAAGATTGAATTGATTGAAGTTTGGATTGATTGAGGGTTGAATTGATTGAAGTATGGATCGATTGAAGTCTCGATTGTACTCTAGATTGAAATTTGGATTAATTGAAGAGTCTAGTTTGGTGCTGATTGAAATCTCGATTGATTGAAGAGTCTAGTTTAAAGACTGAATTAATTGAAGTCTAGATTAATTGAGGTCTGTATTGAATGAAGCTTAAATTTATTGAAGTCTCGATGGATCAAAGTTTGGATTGAAGTTGACTGGAGATTAAGTTAAAGTCTGGATTATGGTCTGGAATTGAAGCCATATTAAGGTCTGAATTGATGTATGGATTAAGATCTGGATTGAAGTCTGGGTTGAGGGGTAGATGATTGACAATTGGATGATTTTCAACCATCAGATCAACAGACAGAATTCTGGATAGATCCTGACGACCTCATTCAAAAATGAGGTCAACACATACTTGAAGAAACTAGTTGTGAATGCAGCTCACCCAGCAATCGATATTAACTTACAGATGAACACACGCATCTGCTCGCAATAACATTGACAGCTCCAAAAAAACATATTAAAGAAGGCTACGACGAATATAAAAGTACGTTTTTGATATGATTCCCCTATAGTCAATATAAACCTGCAAGTAAATGTATTAAACATATGCAAGTGATGAAAAATAATATATGGTGAATGTGAATGATCCCTTACAATATAGATAAAGGAACTGCAACAAATATAACAATCTTCATAGGAGCAATATTAGCCTATTTGCAAATAAACATATCAACCCTCTATGAATAATAATAGTTGATGCAGTTCGTTTAAAAGCAACGATTATGTGCTGCAAGTATGGTAGATCTCCTGTGAGCATAGCTACACACAACATACTATTTACAGAAAAGCACAAGAAACGAGCAATGAATACGAGCACCTATGAGCCACTATGAAAGACTCACCATACACACTACATGTTATCTATAAGCAACTGCATGAAATTTATTAGTACATAACAGTTTACCTGTATAAAGTAACAAATGATATACAACACAACATTATGATTCGCTTGTATGCAAAAACAAAGAATTAGTAGTAAAAATTATAGGCCACTCCAGTAAGTTGAATGTTGAGGAAGATGATAGCATGCAAAAGATAGTTGAAGTACAATGCACCATCAACGTTATCAGATCCGCAACACTCATACAAGCGAAAAGAAGACATTTCTCAAGCTTCAAATGAAATTTTGCGTAAACTTTAGCGACAATCACTTAGCGAAAATAATTATATTTAAATATTTAAATGCTCCCCCTTCATGCATTAAAATATGATTACTCGCAAAATCCCCGATGAGCATAATGTATGCACATATGTGATGTCTGAGGATGCTACGCTGTTCAAGAAATAAACATAAGTTCGAGCTCGATATTTCTATGTAAATAGATAGGAGTCGACACGCCTAGAACTATCAAACAACTATACGGTCGCAATGTCGACCAGAATATTTATTTTATATGTTCATATTAGACATTCAAGGTCAATAAAAAGAAAATTTTGTTAATAAAAGCATAAAGTTGATGATGAACCCGATCCTCTATTAGCCAATAGATAAAGTCGACAAGGTTCTACTAATAAAGTGAAGTTGCTCATAAGTATCCCGATAATTGTCGTGTTGACAAAAAATCTCAATCAAAGATGACATAAAATATTGTAAAATGCCTCTCATATTCTAATAAAAATATGAAAAACACTCCAACTCATAAAGAACAAATGTCTGATCGAGAATATCACTAGAATTCATTCTCAAATTGTTTATTGTCGGCAAAAACATGTCATGTGTCCTCTGACCAGTGACTTCACCATCAAATGACACCACATGTAAATGATTATGATCGAGACCCTCTAACGAGTGATTTTGTTGTCAAATAGCACTATTATATTACGGTCATTGATAGAAGCCATATGTTCTCCAACGGCTTCAAATATTTAAGTAATGAATCAATAGGATATAATCGATACGGCATAAATCCCTCTATTACCTAAGGTGGATTCAAATTTGTCCTAGAGAAATATTCACAAATTTACTCCCTTAGACAAATATTCACCCCATGTATATAAGATATTTTTATGAAAAAGTAACCCATTGCTATTGACAATGATCCTTCTCTCAGGTTAGGTTGACCACCTCTTCTAACAAGTAAAACAGGGATCATAATAACCCAAGATGACAGAACTATAATATCTTGATCGAGTTTATCATCACTCTTTCTACTATCCACTTTAAGTGCAAGATGATAAATTCCTAATTTTAAATGCTAAATTTTCAAATACCAAATCATTTGGCTACTATATGTCACATAATATGTATATGTTTAATGACTAGCCTTAATCGAAAGTTCTTTATTGTTATCAGGAGGGCTAATTAACTATAGGGGCTTGCGCCTAAAGGAAACTTGAACTCAGATCATGAAATCCTCACAAAATGAGGACAAAATCTCTAGGTAATGCCTTATTCAAAACTCAATCTGCCTTCTAAAAATTTGCCTCAGAATTTAAACTTTAAAACTCTCCTCAACGAGCCAAAGAAAAGAAAAGGGGTCACGAAGAGACCAAGGCACAAATTTTTGGAGCCCATATTTATCACCTAGTTACTCTAACATTTTCACGTACATGCTCGTTTCATATTCTGCCTCTAAAAGTAAAGTCACACATCTAGATGAGCATCCCCATCTTTATAAAATTTAACTTAATATTATGCTTCCCTTTTACCAACCAACATTCTATAGCATAAAGCATTGTAGGTCTCACTACCATCTTATAGAAATTTCCCTCAAATTTGAGGAATACTTTTCTATTAACAACAAGCCCGATACATTCCTCCACTTCAACCATTTAACTTGAATTCTACTAATAATATCTCTATCTATTTCACCATCATTCAGAACAATAGATCCAAGATATCTAAAATATGTACTCTTATTAATGACTTGATCGTCAAAAGTTACAGTCCCCCCTCTAGATCTCTTAGAAAAAAAAATAACAGATATATTTTTTCAATTTCAGATATTATAGGACATATCAAGTTAAAATTTTCTTTTCTTTTTTTAGTCTTTAGCTTAGAGTTAATGAAGTTACATCAATTTACAAATCATTTTCATAAAAAATATATATTCATTCAATCAATAAAATTTATGAAGTGCCAAATACACTATACAAAAAAATGAGTTAAACAGAGAAATTGGGTAGACCAAATCTAAGAATACTAATTATGTGATTCAGTAACCCAAATCCAAATCGTGTCAACTCAGAACTGAATCAATAGCAATGACATGGAGAAGATTTGATTGACTGTATATATACTGGATGCATCCATATTCTATGGCCTCCACATGGAACAAATGGAAGAATTGGTAAGTAACAAATAATCACAAATTTGCTCCTGCATTTCACCAACAAATGGATAAATAGTTAGAAGTCACCCATAGATCTATAAAAAAGGTTAAACTTCAGATGGATTTTAACATGAAATTGGCAACAGATAACTAGTTAACAAAAATAATTTCATAATCCTCTAACCTACAGAAAATAAAAATTAAAAAAAATAAATCATAATGAGATGTTTGCATTGCAAAGAAATTATTTTTGTAAATAGAATCTGTGATCTTTGGGTCACAATAGAGGCAACCAACACTACTCCACATCTGTCCTCTGCAATTCAAAATACTACACCATAATGAACCATTTTGCCCATCATGCTGTGAGAAAAGTGATTTCTGAAAAAAATTTTTTTTTTTTGATCAACTTAGCGTTCGTTTGGGATGTCTTTTTTATTGCTTTCTAAACCAGCTTTCTAGTATAAATTTTCTATAACAAGAATTTTGGTACTAAAAAGTTATTTTAGAAAGTGATACTAAAGCTATTCCAAACGAAGCCCAAAATCAAATGATTTTATATACTAAAATTACTGCAATTTATGATAAATCAACTAAAATTTATATTGTACTAATTTCAAAATAAATTTAATGATCATTATAAGATCCAATTTGACCAAAGTAAAGAATATTATGTACCACAATTTTTTTTCTCATGCATTTTAGGCATAGCCACACTCATTAAACAGATATAGACTAAAATGGGGCAGCATCAATCATCATTTACTAAAATGCGTGCAATACAATATCCATACCCTATTTATTAAACAGAAGATTTTTAACCCAGAACATAAAATTTCTCAATCCAACATAAGATGCTCTATTCAGATCTAAAGACCTTATGTCTAAGGTATTTAGCCTAGAGTTTGTCTGATATTAGACTTCGTACACAAATATGTGGTCTTTTAGCAGCATATCAAACTTTTGACCCAAATAAAAGGTTCACATATGCCAATTTTAGAAGGATCATAAAAAATGAGGTGTTCTACTCACATAGACAAAAAAGGTCAAAATAATCTCTTGAGTGTTTGTGTTGCTATATTAAATCCAGTTATGTAATACATTCAATTTAGTCTCTTAACTTCTCAAATATGATTCAAAATAATCTCTCTTGTTGAATTATTTTGAATCAAAATTTAGACGTTAGTGAATTATTTTCAATCATATCTAAGAAGATGAATGATTAAATAGAACATATTAAGACTTCATTTGGAGATTTCTTACTGTTTTCTGAAGCAGTTTTTTAATAAAAAATTTCTACTTCAAGAATTTTTTTACTAGAAAATTGTCCCAAATAAAACTTGAATAGTGTTGGACTAAAATGGGGCTCCAAATAGTCCATGAACTATTTTAACTTTTTTCTCAACTCACTTATAAAATGGTATTTGACCAAACAGTTAAGAATCCATAAATATCATTATTTTAGCTCAAGTTGGTAACATTCAACACTAAATACAATCTCATGCTCCCTCCATAAAGCCTTAAATTAGTTAAATATGAATTTGAAGAGAGAATTTATTTGATTATTCGTAAAAACTTCATCATAAATCAATGATATAGAACATGCTCAATGATATTAAGGAAATGCTGAATCACTAAAAGATATGAAATCTTACATGTTTGGAACTGAGGATCAAGAGAGAAAAGTTCTCTCTGCTCATCAGATGGGTTTCCAAGCCAACAGCAGAACATCCATGCAGCACCAACTACAGAAGAAAACGAGAGCAAGGCCAAGAAGCTGAAATGCTTCACATCATTTGCAATTATTGCTACACCCAACATCGCAAATTCCGCAAGGCTAGCAATTGAAATCTCTGTCGCCCCAATCAAATTTGCCTTGGAAAGAGGGATTCCAGTCTGAAGAATTTGGGTTCCAACAACGTCATAAGACATATGACCCAGTCTCGATAAAACCTGAAAAGATGAGCGCATAGGGAGTATTTCAAGAAACTATATTGCAAAAATTCTTCAATCATATAACATATCAGATAAAATCAGGGGTTATCAGACCAGGAAATGTTCAATATTTAAAAATTCAACCAATGTTCAACGGGGTATTCAACTGTGATGATATTAGTATTATTAAAACTAATTAAAGTTATTTAAATGATGTAATATTTTTAAATATGATAAATAAGTGATTATATATATATATATATATATATATATATATACCAACACCATATCTCTAATGCAATTTCTAATCAAATCAGTTCAACCACACCGAGTTTTACGGGTTGAGCGATCCAATTGTTGGTTTTGATGGGTTGATTTCGGTTCTCTACAAATCCAATTTTTTAATCCGACAAAACCAGCTTGAGGCCTGATTCACGATCCCATAAATTCAACCACCCAATCCGGTTAAGTTTTAACAACTACGGATGCACTGATGACTTACAATCAATAAGAGGAAGAAAAACAGTGGTTTTTGACTTGAAACAGAACCAACACAAAATACACCAAGAGCCGTGGCAAGAAGAACACTCTGAAACACTAATCCAGCAGCTCCTGCCTGTAAATGTCAGTAAATGGAATCAGCGAAGGAATGAGTAACTTAAAGTAAAAGAATGTGTTTTGGTTAAGAACCTTTAGAATGCCTAGTTTTTCAACAAGGGTTGCAGATATGAATGTTGCAGCAACACCCATAAATGCAGATAACCCACTAAACCCACCAATGATTGAAGGATTGACTCCTGCCATATATGAAAAACATTGAAATAGTAGAAATACAGGATAAATAAACAAATTACTGTTTAAATGGTTCTTCATCGACAGGTTAAGCATCCAAACTGAAGCAACATATGCCCTTCATGACATGTATGCCCAAAATAAACCGTAGAGTCAATAAATTGTACGATTTTACTAACAATGGAGAACTGCAGTGGATCGTAGAGCCAACAAATTGTAGGATTTTATTACCTAGTTCTTTCCATATGAGAGAGAGAGAGAGAGAGAGAGAGAGAGAGAGAGAGAGAGAGAGAGAGAGAGAGAGAGCGAGAAAGTCAAATGACAGCAATTAAAAAATAATGCAAGCATCAAAATTGCATCAAAATTGACTACCTACACCATTTAGAGCTAAGCCTAAAATTAATATCATTCAGTCAAGGACACTTGACTAAACATGGTTTGTGTGAGCGTGTATAGTAGCTATTGTTGACCTCCATACTAGTGTAGGGGTCGAGTCGACCGTACAACGTGAATTTCAAAAGCAAAAGAGCGAGACAACCCGCGTAACTCACATGACATGTGTCAACAGAAAACCTAAAATCGCTTAAATGGTCTTCATTCGTGAAAGAGACAAAGCCGATGCATTCGAAGCAACGAAAATAGTTAAGATCGTCCCCCATACTGAATGGAGTCTTCGATCGGCGAAAATTTAAATTTCACGTGCGTAAATCAAGGCGACGAAGCGCTCGAACGACACGACGTGACGACCGACTCAATGCACGATTAATTTTTTTTTATTATTATACCATATAATTATAAATAAATTTTGAAGATAGAGGGAGAGAGAGAGATTTAAAAAAAAAAGAAAAAAAGTTCCTTAAATACCCCCACTTAAGCCCTTAACCCCTCATAACTCCCTCCTCACTCCCTCACGACTCCCTCTCATGTCAAACTCACGCAAGAAGCCACCCCCCTTCGGCTCTTTCTCCCTCTCTTGCGACTCCAAGCTGCTGGCCACCATTCCAAGCCTCTCCAAGGTAAAACCCTCCCTCTTCTTCTTCTTATTCTTTCTTCTTCCTCCTTTCTTCCTTCTTCTTCCTACTTTCTTCCTTCTCCATTTTTGTTTCTCCTTCTTCCACCCTCAATTTTCCTCTTCTATTTCCTCTTCCTCTTCTTCTCCTTCTCCTTCATCTTCTTCTTCTTTTTCTTCCACCATGTCTTCTCAAACTTAAAACAAACCCTAACCTTAATTTTTCAATTTCTCCATATTTACCCCTGAAACCACCAACCTCCCTTCACAAAAAATACTCTCCCACACATCCTACACACCCCCAACAAAAAAGCTCATTCAACCTCCACTTTCTCTCTCTAGCCTAGAAAGAGAGAAATTCCTTCATAAATATTTCCCTCTCCATCCCAAACATCTTCCTTCACCATCATGCCTCCATATTTCTCTCTTAGAGAGAAAATAATTCCCCTATTTCTCTCTCTAAAATTGGAGAGAGGGATTTTCTCTCTCTAAATGTCAAAAGGTTTTCGCTTGAGTAGATCTAAAGCGGAATATATGGAGTGTAATTTTAGTAGTAATAGACCTAGTGAGGGGATTATGACTTTGGGCGATCAAGTGATTAATAAGAGTACATGTTTTAGATATCTTGAATCTATTGTTTAGAGTGATGGTGAAATAGATGGGGATATTATCAACAGAATTCAAGTTGGATGGTTGAAGTGGAGGAATGCATCGGGCTTGTTGTGTGATAGAAACGTACCCCACAAACTTAAGGAAAAATTCTATAAGATGGTGGTGAGGCCTGCAATGCTTTATGGTGCCGAATGTTGGACATTAAAAGAGAAGCATAATACTTAGTTAAGTGTGGCAGAGATGAGGATGCTCAGGTGGATGAGTGGCTTTACCCTTAGAGATAGGATACGAAATGAGCATATACGTGAAAAGGTTGGAGTAGCTCCAGTAGAATATAAGATCTAGAGAGAGACGCCTTAGATGGTTTGGTCACATAAAATGGAGACCTTCCAATGACCCGGTTAGGAGAACATAGGTATTAGATTTGACTTATGTTAAGAAAGGTAGAGGCAGACCTAAGAAGACTTGGTTAGAAAAAATGAATGACTATTCTTTATTAGATTTAAACGAGAATTTGACTTTTAATAGGACACAATGGAGAAAAAAGATTCATGTAGCCGACCCCACTAGTGGGATAAAGACGTGATGTTGTTGTATTTGTTGTTGTAAATGTTACCCTCCATTCCCCTACGTGCCCTACACCACTTCCACCAAAGGCCCTCTCTTTTTCTCTCTCTAGAAAGAGAGCTCACTCTCTCTTTTTCTCTATCTCTAGCCCTTTATATATATCATTAATTAAATGGCATAAATGATAACAAAAAATTACAATGTGCATCGCAGGTTTCCAATCATCGTTGTCGTCTCTTGTCGTCACCTCGGTCACCATGCACTTAAGGTATAAACCTGACACCAGTATTTGAAAATTTATATGTATGAAATATAAGTACTCATGACAATTTTTATTAGCGAGCAATAAAATATAAGTACTATTGACCGCATTTATTAGTGAGCGGAAAAATTCGTATGCATGAAATATAACTACTCGTGATCGCTTTTATTAACGAGCGAGAAAATATTTTGTTTTAAACAAGTACTTGAAGACCCCGTGACAGCTTTTATTAGCGAACGGGGAACAAAACTGTGGTCGCGGTGTCAATTAACATCTATCATAACTGCCTTTTTTGGCAGGCGAAAAGGTTTTACACCCCGATGCTATCCCCTACGCGGGGACGACGTCGGGGTGCTGTCGAAACTTCCAACATAGCTCATGACTAAGAGAATTTTAAAGAAATTAAAATCTACCTAAATTTCTAAGTCATCAAAAAATAAAACATACAAAATTTTATGTTCCTAACACTAAAAGCAAAGATGAAAGAAAATCCAGAACATAACATAAAACAATTTACAGTGAAGTTATAGGAGAAGTAGTTGTTCACCAACATATAGGAACCAAACATCATTTCTTTTATCTCTTAGCTTGCATACACCTAAACTCCATAGCAACAGTCCTTGCAGAAATTAAGTGTGAAAAAAATGAATTGAGCTTCCGTCCTATTTATAACATAAAAGTCAAATTATTTATGGGCCCCACCAGCCTAGGACCCTCTTGTTAAAAGATAGGGAAGGTACACCTACAAGACCCACTAGCCTAGGATCTCTTTGCTAAAAGATATGGAATATACACTTGCGGGCCCCACCAGCCTATGATCCCTTTGCTAAAAGACATAAAAGGTACCCCTGAGGGCTTTGAATTCCTCGAATATTCACCAGTGAGTGAAATACGAGCGTAAATATAATGGAATATGGATGGTAATTATCTTAAAAAATGGAAGGGGTACAAGTAAAAATTTTTTGTCTTTCCTATAAAAATGTATTAAAATTAATTGTTAGCACGTATGAATTCCAGCATATCCCTAATAATTATTCTGGTTAACCAATTCATAATAAAGTGAGAACCGTCCACCACGTTGCAAGTCATGAGTACACAAATACTTTAGATAGCATACATGCTAGTTGTTAAAGTTAGGCAGCTCGTATATCCCGTGAACATCTGTCTTCAAAAAGAAACAAAATAGTGCACTGTTAGTTGTCGCGGGTTGTACGACCCTTCATTAAAGTGTACATGACGCGTCAAAGTCATCGAAGGGTGTCACCTATGAGCCCCTTCCCCTATGTACAATGCGCATGTACCAAATACATACAGATGCATCGAGTGGCACACATGCATACTTCCAATCATATAAGCGCACTAAGTAACCAGTATACATGTCATTAATCATGCAAAAACCACTTCCTGCATACGTCAATTATCATGCCATTATGCAAGTCATTCGAAATTCATGCATGTGTGTCACACAAACACACTAAGTAAAGCATGCGAGTGCATTGCACGAATGCACTATACAAATACAAGTGTATTTTACACACATGTTTAACATGCAAATGCATATCCAAATACATAAGTGTGCATACAAACATACAAATGCATATGTAAACAAACATGCAAACATGTATGCAAATACACTATGCGTCATTTATGCCTATGAGTCATATCAATTTTCCATGTGTATTGTATCAGTCAAGCAAATACATTATCTCAATCATACAAGAGTAATATAAGTGCATACTTCAAATTGTATATATACATCACTCACACTTTATAAGTGCATTGTTTAAACCATGAAGCATGCAAATATGCAGATATGTCATACATATCAAATTTGTGATATGCAAAATGCACTCAAAAGCATGTGTTACCGCATGGGCCCAGACAAGCGTGGCACATAAACATGACTGTGAGAATGCTACAGGATTGAAAAGTAACGAGTTTTAAAGCTAGTAAACATTCATCAAATATTAATACAAATGCACATACGTAAGTGTAATTATGTAAGATGCACTGAAATATAAATACTAGCATAGGCCCCAGCAAGCATGTTATTGGCACACACGTGATATGTCAAGAGATGCTACGCAGCTCAATAAATGAACCCCAGTTCGAGCCTGATCCTTCTATATAGATAGATAGGAGTCGGCATGGCTCAAACTATTAAAAAGATATACTGTCAAAATGTCGACCGGAATATCTATTTGATATGTTCATATTAAGCCTTCGAAGCCTATTGAACCGAGAAATTCAGTAATAAAACCTAAGGTCGACAGTAAACCTGAATCACTGTCGGCAAGTTGACCAAGTTGATAAGGTTCAATCAACAAAATACAATTGACCCCATATACCTTGATGATGGCCGTTTTGAATGTTTATCTAAGCCGAAGGGATTAATTTCAAGTATTCAAAATGCCTCCTAGAGAGGCCCATAAAAGTCTAAAAAGCATAAAGCCTACAATAAACCCCATCCTCTATCGACCACTAGACAAAGTCGATAAGGTTCAATCAATAAAATTCCTAAATACACATAAATATCCTGATGAAGACCACGTTGA